AGAAAAAGCGTTCGACAGATATTGAAGTACTAGCCGGGGACTTAAATGCTCAGGTCGGGCGTCTAGGCACAGAAGAGAATCGTTTAGGTGGCCAATGGGGACTTGTCGATCGCAGGACAGATAACGTGGACCGTCCACAGCAACTTTGCACAGACCACAACCTGTTTCTGGCTAGCACTAACTTCCGACACAGTCATCGCCGATGTGCCACCTGGCGTCCTCGCTCTGCATCTCAAGCCTGGACTCAGATTGATCACATCGCGACCAGCTACCGCTGGCGTGGTTGTGTACAAGACTGCCGCTCCTTTTGGAGTACCTATCTGGACTCTGGTCATGCCCTAGTCTGCGTCAATCTCACCTTACTTTTCAGTGGCAAACGAAACGACCGCCAGCAAAGGATTGATGTCAGCAAGTTGGTTGCAACTTCTGTTGCAAGTAAGTATCGAACCCAGCTAGCTTCTAGGCTAGCTACCATTCCACTGAAAAGTATAGATGAGCATTGGTTGCAATTGCATGACGCCATGAAAATGGCGGGTACAGTCAGCTGTGGGTTCGCGAAACGTCCCGCTTATAAGCACTGGGTTTCTTCTGGTTCCTTACAACTCATTGAAACCCGTCGGTCTACTCCGGGTGACCGTGAGTTTGACCATAAACGAAGGATGTTACGTAAGGAAATGGGGCAAAGCTTGCGTAAGGACCGAGAAGCCTGGTGGTCGAAGCGTGCTAATGAGCTGGAAGCAGCAGCTGCATCTGGTAACTACCGGAAGCTCTTCCAACTCATCCGAGTCACTGGCAGCAAGAAGTCTGGTGTGAGTGAAACAATCTGTGAGGATGATGGGATGCCAATCACTAACATCCATCGACGTCTTGGACGATGGGCAGAATTTTTCGAAGGGCAGTTCAACTGACCTGGTGGTCCGGCAACATCTGTCAGACTGTCCTGTCCTCCATGGCCGGTGACGACTAATCCACCAAATGAGGCGGAAGTCCGCAAGGAACTCCAACTCTTGAAGCGTTACAAATCACCTGACCCAGACGACTTACCTCCGGCTCTTCTTAAAGATGGTGGTGACTTTCTGGCTAAGGAACTGACAAGGTTGTTTACAAAGGTCTGGGAGCTAGAGAGTGTGCCAACGTCATGGAATGAGTCGACAGTTGTCCTTATCTTAAAAAAAGGTTCACGTCGTTCCTGCAACAACTATCGGGGGATAAGTCTACTTCCGATCGCGTCCAAGCTATTGGCTTCCGTCATACTTCGTAGGTTGTTCAAAACCCGAGAAAGATTAACTCGCGAGGAGAAGGCTGGGTTTCGTTTTGGTCGAGGATGTATTGATCATATCTTCACCCTCCGCCAAATGTTAGAACACCGTCATACTTATCACAGGTCAACAATCGTAGTGTTTCTTGACATTAGGGCTGCCTTCGATTCGTTGGACAGGACTGTTCTCTGGGATTGTCTATTGAAGAAGGGTGCGAAAAGTTTAACATCTTACATGTCCTATATACAAACATCTCAGGCAGAATAAGGGAATACAACCACCTCTGTCCATTGTTTCATTCGAGCAGTGGGGTTAGGCAGGGTTGCCCAATCTCACCATTCCTCTCCAACTTTGCCATCGATAACATTCTGGAAACTGCTCTGATGGGTGTAAGTAATGGCGGTGTGGATCTGTTACCTGGAGAAAGACTTCTCGGCCTTGAGTATGCGGATGATATTGTCTTACTGTGCGATAATGCCCAAGGCATGCAATCCGCACTTAATCAGTTGGCAATCAGTGTCCGTAGGTATGGTATGTGCTTTGCACCTTAAAAGTGTAAAATACTTTTACAATACTGGCAGGAACGTGATCCTGCACTCACCCTGGATAGTGAGCAGATAGAAGTATTCCAGAAGTTCGTGTATCTGGGTAGCTGCATAAGTGCTGGTGGGGGTGTGAGTGATGAGATCAATGCACGTATAGTGAAAGCCAGAGCGGCTTATGCCAATCTGGGCCATCTTTGGCACCTTCGTGATGTCAGTCTGGCTGTAAAAGGTCGGATCTACAACGCGTTGGTGAGAGCAGTCTTGCTCTATACTTGTGGAACCTGGCCTCTCCGAGTTGAGGATGTTAGACGACTCTCTGTGTTCGACGATCTTACAAGCAGGACTCGAACCCAGGACCTTCGGTCCCGTGCGCGAACGCTTAGCCTCTAGACCACTGAAAAGGCATCTAACTACGTTAATATCTAGCTTCAACCAGTATTGCGCCACCATCTTATACTAGGACGAAACAGCCATCCAGCGCTTCCAGGTTTTCCGTGGTGGTCTAGCTTTGATCGACTCATGAATTCAATTATTAGTTATAACATACGTTTTCGGAAGAGCTATCAACTCGAGACCGAATTGTAGTCAAATGTGATACCATTCTAAGCTCAGTTAGTGTTTTGAAAGTCTGATGAATTATTCCCCAAATTAAAAGGTAGTTCGAGTGTGCTGTGTTCCATGATGAATTAATTGTGAAGCTTTTATTATTCTTCTGGACAGCACCAGCATTTACTTCACGCTTATTATTTTGCAGATAACGTTTAACCTAAATGATGCTCGACCACATGTCAAATGAATGAAGCTAGCGATCGTAATTGCACAACGAAAGTTGAGTACCTAAGTGATTAGTACACAGCTTTACTAACTAATACGGGCTTCTAATAATCTGTAATACATTATGTGGCATTTTGCTTCCCTCCCCCTATAAACTGACATTAAAATAAGTTTTGTCAGTTATGTCCCCTGAAACTATTAGTCTGACACCGGACACTGTTTGTGGTGAAATCCGTTTGTTGCTTTCATTTGACGGTCAAAAAGCAACTAACTGGGGATTGTCGTACGGCCACTTTCAACTTATTTTACTGGATAAAATGTCCTCCTGAAACATTATTTATCGAATAAGACTAAATGACTAACATAGAATTCACTCTCAGTAAATTTTTCAGCAGGACGAACTCATCATAAACGATTCACTTAGTCATTTACAAACCTATTTTGACTGGAAATTATGAATCCTTTAAAAAATAGTTGTAATCATTAGATGGCTTAACCATCAACTAAGTCTTGCTACTTGTTTATCTTACGATCGAAAATGATGTTGGGGATATGCCATTGAAATTACAACGTGAGGGGATCAAATCAATTAGGTTGAAATAAATTGTTTGGTAATTAACACTATTCACGAAATCCCAATACATTTTTACGATATTTTGAGTTCATAATCAACACAGTGTCATTATATATAATCGACAAAGCTTGTTTTGGTTGATTACACTGGTTAACTTCAGTATATTCGTCTGTGAAAATGGTTCTTTTGCTTCAGTTAGCGGGACAGCAAAACGAAAATAAGGTAGTCTCGTTCAGGATGTTAAAGTCGGAGTAGCAAAATTACCAACACAGTGCACAAACACATTAAATGAAGTGAGTGACCCAGAACAACATTTTTGCTACTTAGAGTTTATATTATAAGGGTTAGTTTTTCAGTGTCCAATATAAAAGACAAGGTTATATGCTAAGGAGTTTTCTAGAACTAGTTTACTGGGGTCCGTTTTCACAAAACACTTAAAGGAGCAGTTCAGCTGTCTTTCAGCTACCCTAAAATTACCCACCCTTCCCAAACATCCTAGATGGAACGTTGAAGTAGCCCCCCCGACTCGAACTAAAGTTCCCAAAGCTATAGCTAATCTGATGCAAGGAAGAGCAGCTGATCCAGATGGGTTGACTTCAGAGGTCTTTAAGGATAGTGGTCCCATTTTAGCTGGAATCTGGTAGTTGGACGTAATCTCATATGATTGGTCTCAATCACTGATTGTCCCAATATATAAGTGAGGGTTAAAGTCATCCTGTGACAACCATAGAGGGATTAGTTTAACTAACTAAGACTCATGAACTGCAAACACGGGAAAATCAGGCTGACTTTAGGCCTGTTCGTGTCTGTATCGAACATATATTTGCCATCCGTCAGGTTCTAGAACACAGGCATGCTTATCGGCGTCCAACAATAGCAGTCTTTCTTGACTTAAAAGCAGCATTTGACTCTGTAGACCGCGAGATTCTGTGGCAGTGTCTGTCATCGAAAGATGGACCTCAGAAGTGCATTAACCTTGGGAAGACTCTTTACTCGAACACTACTAACGGAGTGAGAGCTTATGGCGAACTGTCATATGATTTTAGAACCTCAAGTGGTGTCCGTCATAGCTGTCAACTACCGTCATTTTTTTCCAACTTCATAGACATACTGCTGGAAATAACATTCTCATCGACTGAATCTTCGGGCATTGACCTCCTTTTAGGAGGTTCATTTATCGACTTAGAACACGCAAATGACATAGTCCTGTTTGTTGAAGACACTACTAAAATACAGTCCTCTGGTAGCATTGGACAACAGTGCCAGGATGTTTGGAATCTTCATCGACCGAAATGGTTGGGCCACGTGCTACGTATGTCTGAACACCAATTATCACGACGCGCGATGCTGATTAGTGTTGGAGATCGTTGGAAGAAAGTTAAGAGTGGTCAAACCAAAACATAGCATCAGTGTTTGAAGTCACTATTTCCTCGTCTTATACATGTTGTTAGATGCAGACTACTTGGCTGGGGTCCGTGTGACTATCGTAACTAATGGTTGATGACTGGCTCAGAATCGATCACGATGGCGTAGGTGTATACACTCTCTGTCTTCTCTTTAACCATGAGATTACTTTATACCTTTCTTTCTACGAACTAATTCTTTCTCTCTCAATCATATCATTCTACGCAGCCTTTTTTATATATTACTACCAGTGAACTAACTACGTCTATGGATTCGGTGTTCATCTTGTTGTTGAGGTATGGCAACGTGGACCGATGCATATATGCGCCTGGTCCTACCTGACCGACTAATAACTATCTTATGCTCTCATCTGGATACTGAAGCCATTTGATAGTTTTTTTTGTAATTTAATAACTCCAACATAAACTACGTTTTTTCTTTTAGTTGACTAACGAAGAAATGATAGCTGCAAGACTAAAACCTTACGAACGAGATTACTGCGCTCACCTTTTGCTAGCTTTCAGGAAATGCTTAGATGAACATGCGATACCAGCTTTTTTCTGTTCCGATCAGAAACATAAATATCTTCATTGTAAAGAAAATGACCAGTTGTATAGAATGAAGGAATACGAACGCGAACGCCGTCTTTTACACAAGCGTACATCGATTTCAGAATGATGCATAATAACCAGGATATCGTATTGTAAAATAATCTCGAACAAAACGAACGAATACAGACAATTATGCCTAAAAGTTTGTTTCATCTTGCTAATAGCTGCATAATAAACATTTAGAAAGAAGATGTTCTTCAAATTATTTGTAGTTTATACTCTATGGCGTTTACTTTTTTGGTTTGCAAATATATACTTCTCAACTAGCTACTCAGTGATGTTTTAGACTATCAGTGATTATCAATATACAATTAGCGATTATGACTTTTAGGGTCTCGGTTTAGTGGAGTACTGATAGATAGTATTTTCAGAACTTGCTTTTCACTTACTGGCTACAATCCTTTTAATTATTGTACTAATGGAATTGTTTTTTATGTTTAGGAATAGATAAATTTAGAAGCCAAGTTGTTCTTTTTCTGGCCATAGCATTCACATTGACTCTGGGTCCTCAGTATCGCGTTTAGAGTTCTGGTAGGATATCTGTAGGACAAATTAGATCTCATACTAGTCGTCACGAAATTCTTGAGAAAGCTGATTGGGATTAAACCTATTATGTGGGTGACTACTCAACTAAAATATGATTATAAACTAACTACTCTTTAGAGTTTTGTTGGCTGAAAGCACCACTTTCAGGCACCATGTACGGCATTTTGCGTCCTTGGTATTACATTTAATGCCACCTTCTTGTGTACATGTTACCAATAATTAGTTAATCAGTCATATACAACATAAGACCTAGCGCGTATGTGCATTAGTCCGAGTTGGTACATCACACTAAGATGACGGTATGAAAATATCAGGACATCCCCGAGAAGGGAAATATTCATAGTATTAGTAGTAGAAACGACGAGAGGAGGCACGGGAAGGTTTTGAGGCTAAGGATGCAAAGAGTGACGAAAGGTAAATGCATTTGCGTGTCGCAGTTGATCCTGGGCAGTTTTTTCCATCGTTTTCCACTAGTGGTTATGCTAAATTTGTAAACCCCAACCAGGTAGTCTACACCTATCTACATGAGTTGGTTCAATTATCAATGACGTCATGGGCTGGTGCCAAGTTTTAGTTTGGCCCCCTCTGTCTTTCATGTGACCTACTTCTAGACCAATGTTGCCCATCGAGGTAGGAAGCGGTTGGGCACACGTGACACATGTCCTAACCATCTCAATTGGTGAAGATACACCACTCCATTGACCAACTTACCATCTTCGTTCGCAACCTTAACTCTAACCTCATTATTGCCCACTCAGTGTTTTCAACACATACGAGCGATGCTTCGAAGACATTTGTGCGGTAACATTAGTGACCTACGGTTAAAAACCCATTGATATTTTTAAAATCAAAGTGTGCCTTATTCCTTGTTCTCGCTCCATATATGTGCTGTTGTTCTAAGATAAATACTTTCCCTCGATTTTGTGTAACAGTTTATTGTGCAGGTCCACAGAACCAGAATAAAAGTTTGGCAATAGTATATGCTATTTTAAAAGGTTTAAGATATTTGAACGATACTTCAAGACCAATGAGCGGAAACAAAGTCATAACTATACCGTAAATTACGAGTAGGAGGATTCTACACAATTTATATTGTCTATTCTCTAAAATTCTCAGCATAATGATAATCGGAGGTATCAGGAATATAGACGAACGTTATTATATTACAGGTGCGGAGTTAACATGGATCAGAGTTATACAATCGTCACTTTAAATGTTAGAAACAAGTAGAGGCAAACAAAATCAGCCGTATTTTCGACGTGTCAAATACAACGTAGATTGTATTGCATTCGGAAAGAAATACAGATAAGTATTTATGCTTGGAACACAGTTTTAAGCCTATTAATGCAGTGAGAATGGTAGCTGTGGTTGCATTAAAACCGTATTTAAAATGCCAGAAAGCGAATCGGTTATTTGTGGGACGTGCAAATGTATGGTTTTCATGCTTATCACTTGTTCGAATATAATAAAAAGCAAAACTCAGTTGTCACACATGTGTGTACAACATACTGCAAGTTAAGCGGTAGACTGACATGTGGGATATATTTTAGGTAGTTTGGTGTTTAGACTTACAACCTAATTGACTAATTCAACTTTATGGACAAGAAATCTGACTCTAACGTTTATTCCTGAGGTGTAAGCACGGTAGATACTCTATGAAGATATAAACGTTTGGAAACAATTGAGTTTCGATATCTCTCAGTCTTAGTAGCTGTTTTTTTATGGGGTGGAGTGACCAGAATGTTCCATAGTATAACTGTGTCCCGTTAGATAACTAGCTCTTGTCGTGCATTTCTATTCAGTCAGCAAACCTCTCATATTCACGTTCTGGTGTACATGAAACATAGTTCATCAGTAGGCACGATTACAATGTCAACAAACAATAAACTCAAGTCAGATGTCGATATGATGGACTCGTGGAGTACTATCCAACAATTGGCAACCTTTGGGCATATTAAACCGCGATCTATCGTTTATTGTGTTGGGAAAGGGCGTTCTACGCCAAGGGTATTAATGGTTTTACTATTGGTTTAATTTGGGCTGTAGAAGCTTAACTAGTCCGTGAATTGAAGTTGCAAACTCTTACCTAGTAATAGTAAGTCATAACAGAGAACAAAGGTTATTAGAGAATCAACATTTCATGTTACTTATTATCCTGGAAGTATTGATAGACGGAACTGAGAGCGGAAATCTGGAAGGTGCATTCGACCGCAGGTTTATCCAAGAAAAAAACAGTTGGAAAGGCTGCACAAATTTGTACGAGATATCAAAAGTTATCTAACAGTAAATCTGAAACTCCCATAACATTACAATTTAAGAATCACCCATAAACTTTCTCCAATAAACTGAAATTTCTAATTAGGAAGTAAAAGTCAGCAACCATAACTATTACTGCGCACAACAAACCACAGACAATACGCGAGAAGAGTGATATGGGATAACTGGAGGGCATTAAGTTAGGAAGGAAATATCCGAACGCAAAGGCGGACATCACAATAACAATAAAATTGAGAACCATAACGAATTGTTTCCTAGCGCATTTGAGTTCAGAAAAGCAAGTTTTCTGGGCCTTGGAAGTTGTTGAAAAGACCATGGGTGTACCAATATCTTTCGTTATTTTTTCGTAGCATTTGTTATTATACTTATTTCTTAGTTCTTCAAAATGAGCATCGAGACCTTGATTTTTAAAAGTCTGCTTTATCGCTGGAAGGACTACTGAGGTGTTTAGAGAAATGCGCCAAAATTGGAGATAAATATTGTCTTTGCCTGTACTCGAGAGCTTCTTTGTTAAGTGATAGCAGTCATTTAAAACTGAGTACGGGACTACAGATCTTTTTTCTAGTACTTGACTTATTGAATTTTTGAGTTCTGGAGAGCATATATCTAGACCACCAACCTTGGACAAATACGTTGCAAGTTCATCGGTGAGGAGGAAGTCCAGATTGATTGACCTTGAGCCCATCTGCTTTTACGCAGCAGCAGTGTGACCCACAGATGATTGGTAAAAACAAGAAATATTCTTCAGTCAGTCTTCAGTAATAAGGATAGTAGATTGATGAACCTGTGTTAATCCTGACACATTGCTTTCCAGTGAAGGTCCGGCTTTTCCTTGAAAGTATTCACTGATGGGGCTGATACCACTTGTTCGGGTAAGGCGTTCCAATGATTGACTACTCGATGAGAAAAACGGGATCCCACTTTAAGTTTATTAGATCGTGGTTTATGAACCTTCTTGCTATGACCTCGGAGATTATTAGTGCTGGAGGGAGCAAAAAGATAAGACATATTAACACCCGAATCATAATTAAAGATACGAAATGCCAGTATAAGGTCACCTCGTGTCCTACGATACGACAAGGGGAAAAGATTTAGGCGCTTTAAGCGCTCATCGTAAGGAAGTCTAGAAAGACCCTTCACTAATTTCGTTCCCACACGCTGGACACGCTCAAGGGAGTTAGTATCCTTTACTAGACACGGGCTAGCTGCTTGGATACAGTACTCTAAATGTGGTCTAACATATATGAGATATAAAATTCGAAACGTTTCCTCGTCAAAAGATTTAAACGCTCGGCGAAGTGACCATAACGCACGAAAACCTTTGACAGCGGCTGCTTTGCAATGCGCAGTTGTTTTTAAGTCATGACTTAATATTACTCCTAAGTCCTTATGCTCTTGAACGCATGGAAGAGGTTTACCCTCAATAGTGTAACGGTAACTATTACCGTGACCGACGTGCATTAGTACACTCTTCCTAGCATTGATTTCTAAGCCCCACTCTCGAGCCTATCTAACTAAATCGTCTAAGTCAGCTTGAAGATCCACATGATCAGCCGCACTTTTTATTGTTCTCCAGATTTTTACATCATCTGCAAACAATAATGTTGACGACCTAAGTAACAGTGGTAACTCATTAACGTAGAGAAGGAAGAGCAGAGGGCCTAAGATGGTGCCTTGGGGTACACCACTTTTGACCATCTTCCAATCGGATAGCGTTCCGTTGACCCTCACTCTCTGTCTGCGGTCACATAAGAAATTTCTTATCCACTCATGTACAGTCCCTATTATTCTGAAGCTCGTGAGCTTCTGCATAAGACCTACGTGAGAAACCTTAACAAATGCCTTGCTAAAATCTATGAATATCACATCGACAGACAGACAGACCGTTATCTAGGGCTGCTGTTCAATCCTCCCTCGCAATAAGTAAGTTAGTCAAGCATGAACGCTTGTTACGAAATCCGTATTGCTCAGGAGCTAACAGATTGTGTAAACTATGTGGCTTAGCAACCTAACACGAATTATCTTTTCGAGTAATTTAACGACTATGCTAGTTAGACTGACAGGCCGGTAGTTAGATACTATCTGTCGCTGACCGTCCTTAAATATAGGACTAACTATAGCGTCCTTCCAATCTCTAGGGAGTTGAGCGAGTGAGAGGGACATGTTGAAGAGTGTCGCAAGCGGTTTTGAAATAATGTCCGCAAGAGATGACAGCAACCGTGGATGTAACCCGTCAGGGCCCTGTATCTTACCAGGTTTGAGGTTGGTTATCAACGGAAGGACAGTTTCCCCAGTCACCTGTACAGATTCAATGGTTGGTATCTCGGTGTGAGTGGGACAAGTATTTGTTACAATAGACGTAGAGAAGACTTCGCTAAAATAGTCTGAAAAAGTCTCAGCTTTTGCTCGATCTGATTCAGCTGGTAATTCTGAATTTTCGTGTAAC